ATACTAATTATAGAAGTGGACCTATGCACCATGGAACTCGAACTAGTGGTGCCACAACATTATAGAATAAATAGTGGTTCGGCATTAATGTGCTTACTCAATTATGTTGTTGTGCTAACTTGTCTTGTTTATTGATTAAACTGATACATCACTTGGATGATTCGACGTGGCTTAATATTTTATCGATTACTCTGCCATGATATTTCTAAAGTCAAGCACTATAATGCATGAATTAATAATCTAATATTATGGTGTAGTGATGCTCTAGTGCTTAGATCCTAAAATTTTTTAGACTCAGGTGCTGTGAAATTAATTTATGATGCTATGGCACTATGAAGTGTTGTAGTATTGACCTTGGCTCATTCGGGGAGCTGAATTAATTATCACTTTTCTTAAAGATTTGATGTTATGATTTCTTGATATGGTATTAGTTATGGCACTGATAGTTGGAGCATTGTGGCACTTATTCAACGCTTGTAATTTTTTCTCCTTTTTCTTGAGCATTTCCTGCACAACATCTATTAAAATAACATTTTTAGTAATATTTAAGATATTAAAATACTATAAAATTTACACTTAGCATTTTTCCACCACCTAACCATCATCATCATAATGGCGCTTGACCATAGTTGTCAACAGACTATTAGATTTCCTTTATTGATACACCACCTAACCTCCTTTATCGAACTATTATTACCAACCTTATCTACCATCATTGCTAGTGATCATCTTTAAACTCTAGTTAGATAGTTTTTTCCCTTAATTTATGGGTGAGAATTAGAGCTTGCATTAGAGTACTGAGCTTTACTTGTAATCAATAGTCCTAAAACTCTAGTCAGATAGTTTTTAACTCCTTTTATGCAAGAAAACTAGAACCTTCAAGAGGATTAGACTGTTCTCATCACAAATGGTCTTTAATCTCTAGTTGACATTCTTCCCTCATTTTATTACGAAGGAATAGAATCTATGTTAAAATATTGGGATTTCCTCATCGCGAAAAGTCATTAAGCTCTAGTTGAATAGTTTTTCTCTCATTTTATGGAGGAGAATTAAAGCATATGTTAGAAGAGTGTGCTACTTTTTCCTCGCCTCTAAAGGTGTTTTTATAAATTAGGAGGGAGAAAGTTTGAAAAAATTTCTATAATTTTTTTGGATTGTTCGGGATATTTTTTTTTATTTTAAAAGGCAACAAATCCTATTTCTTCATTTTCCTAAAACAAAAAAGAAAAGGAAAATTATCTTTAATAACAACAACAACAATAATAATAATAATAATAATAATTATTATTATTATTATTATTATTATTTTCTTGCCTCAAAATTTATTGAGAAAATTAAAATTTCCTATATAATATATAAAGCTTTAAGGGGCTTATTTTTGGGTGGGGTGTGGGGGCACGGATGTATACGCCCCTAGTAGTTAGTGGTGGGCAGGCTGGTGACCATCTAGATCTAGCCATATATGTATATTCAAGCCTAAATTTTGGCCCAAACATGCTTATTTAAGCTTTTTTGAGCCTTTCGAACTATTATTAATGTTGTAAGCTAAAATATGGCACTTTTAAATCTTTGCATGGCCTCTACAAATAGTTTCAAGTAGTTTAAAATGCTTTCAAGTAAGCAATCAAAATAATCTTTACTCAGATTGATGCCCTAACCATATGAATTGTAAAATTATAATTCAGAACATTTTACTTGATTCACTGCTTTGATGGGAGGTCCGTATTGAAGTCTTGGAAGCAGCTGTGCCTTGTAATATTTTTGAAATTATAATGTATAATGTGTGAATTTCATGGAAGGCTCAAATAACTATTTTAAAAGTTTATGAGCTTAAAATAGAGGGGAAATTGTTACATAAAAAAATTTTCTTTGATTGAGCACAAATCTAAAGACGTATTTAAATTAAAAACTTACAAAGTTAAATTTGGTATCATGCAAGCTTTGATTTTAAAAAACTTGCAATCAAATTGAATATCTCAATGAGATGAACCTAATGACACCTAAAATGACCTAATCTGAGGCCAAATTAAGAGCCTAAAGCATACTTAGAAACATAAAGACAATGATTGGATGACTAAATTATATCCAAATTTGGCATGCTTGTAATCAAATCAAGTGGCTCGACGACAAGACAAATCCAATGACCCTATTATCATTTAATTCTTCATCATTAAGGAAACTAAATGTTGCTTTAATGCTAAATGATCAAGGAAAACAATACAGGTCATCCAATGGAGTTCTCTAAATTTTCTTTATATTTTCTCGATATTTATTGGGCTTGCCACTCCCAAAACTATTTAAAAGGCCCTCCACTCTCTATATGAGTGGAGCATGGACTCTTACCTTGAGATTTAAGAGAGCTCTTAGGCTTGATGAATCTAAGAGATCCACTTGAGTTGCACCACAAGCAAACCCTCATTAGCAAATTACCACAAGAATTTGCTGCCCAACTGCCAACACAGGACCTTCATTGGTCAACCATTATGTTAAGTAAAAATTATGTTTATTTTATTGTCTTAAATTCTAGTAAAAATGTATGTTTAGTTGAAATTATATAGTAATTTCTTAAGAAAAAAGTTTTAAATTTGCAAAGTTAGAACCAGTGCTACAGTGCCCCAAACACCTACGTTGTAATGCCTTCAATGCCTCGATGTTGGAATAGAACATCATAGCACTCCAGCCTCAATTATTTTTCCATTCAAGATAATACTCCATAGGAACATCATGCGGTACTATAGTGCTCTCTGCTCTATCAGATTATAAAATAATTAAACATTGAAGTGTCAACCTCTAAAGCATAGTAGCATCGAAAGACTTTTCCAAGGTTGCAGTGCTAATTCTTCTACAGCACCATGGCAAAGTAGTTAAGAAAGGAAGTGTTGTGCTGAGTCATCCAACCTTCATGCCTAGTTAGCCCAACGTCATAACAGAGCCAACTAAATAATAATGAGGCACTAGTTCATTATTATAACCCTATTGTGCCACTCTATCAGGCACCGTGGCACTTAGATCAGTTTATATAAAAATTATAAATAGTTTTTTATGTTTTCTTTTAAGTAGAGATTAGAGAGAGACTAGGGATATTAAAGTTATATTTAGTAGAGTGGTTGGTTATCCTTGTAGTGTGCAAAACAATCCTTAGGAGTGCAAAAGAGTGTGGAGAATGAAGGTGTAAGGAGGGAATCACTCTGAAAAGAGTCCATCTATAGGATATGTTTGAGATTATCAACTCTGGGTGATTTTTTCTTCATTTTTTTTTGTATCTTTTCTAAAGCAAGTAACGAAATATGTTTTGATTTAAATTAATTCTATGGCTAGCTAACTTCTTTGTTTTGGACTAATAATATTATTAGTCTTTGTTTCTCCTAATATAAACTCTTGTATGAACATGTGAATTGTTGTTCTCAATTATTTTCGAGCTTAATATAGTTTATGCAATGGACTTGTATGAATTTAAAATCTAAGGTAATATATTGCCTCAATGAAAGAATGATGGAACAATTAGGAGGATTGATATAGAATACTTTCATTCGTAGACATATGATGATTAGGATTCTAGGTCCTAAGGAGATTAAATTATTGTAGAAAGGTCATAAAATATTTTTACACCCTCATAAGCTTGATACAAACCTAATGATATATATACTCTAATTCATAACTATTGTAGATGATTCTGCTTAGATAAAATATGTTAATTCACTGTCAATAGTTAAAAATATATTTAATTCTATTTATCTTTATTATTTATTATATTTCTCAATAGTGATAACACCTCACCTTTTATTTCATTGTGTAAGATAAATTTTGCATCTTGAGTAGACATTACTAGAGTTAGTTGTAGCTAGCACACTTATTTCGTTGTGAGATCGACACTCTTTTCATACACTTTATTACTTGACTGAAATATGCACTTGCATAGTTAGGAGCATATAGTGCACACATTCATTTAGCAAGCAAGCTCGTCTAAATAAAAAAGTAAAGTACTAATCACATTGCCATTGAACTTTCGCCTAGCTAACGTCGCAGGACCTCTGCTCAATTGATGCCAACAAAGCTCGACCGGTCGACCATTACTGTTGGACTCCGCTTGGTCGTTGTCACCATACAACTACTCAGCCACCATCACCGAACCTTTGCCAACTAACTTTGTCCATTAGAAATTCATGACTTTGTTTTTGTCATCAGACCTCTTCCTTGACCATTGCCATCAAACCTTTGCCTCCTGACCATCATCGCTAGACTTTTGTCACCTAGCCACTGCTGTTAAATTTCCACCCGACCATTTTTTGTTGGACTTTTTTTATCCAACCATAGTTGTTAGACCTCCATTTCCCACTGACTATGATCCATATACCATTGTCGACAAACTACTATCCTACGTCCACTATTTCTCAACTACAACCCTTTTGGCCTCCATCACCCATTGACTTCTATCCTTAGACCGCTGCTTCCTGAATGTAGTCTTCAGACCAAAATCGTGTGATTATAGTCCTTGAACCATTGTCGTTTGACTAATGTTGCTCATTGACTATAACCCTTTCGACATCCATTGCACATCAATTATGGTCCTCGGGCCACTGTCACCTAATTATGGTCCTCAAAACCACTATCACACAACTACAGTTCTTACACCACCGTGACTCGACTACGATCCTTTAACCTCTAGGGACGACCATTGTCCTTCGACATTTGTTTCTTGGCTAGTATCTACCGACCTCTTTTCTTTTTCATAATCATTGCATGGCTACTCCATTTATGTTGGATTTCTGCTAGAGGGATTTTATAACTTCAAGCACACAATATGTTCTTTATAATGTATCAATGCCTTCTCTTAGGGAAGGATTTCACTTGTAATCAAATACAAATATTTGTGGAATCATTTTAACTTGTCTAAGTCATGTGATTATTTGAGAAATATTATTTTTCAAAAGACTGAAAAATAATTATTTGGAAAATGTTATTATTTAAAATACATGTGCGGCTTGCTAGTCGACCACAGTGTTAGAAGTAGGTAAGTTAACTTACAGGTGACGAAACTCAGCTCGGAGAGGCCGCGTGCCGGCGAAAGTTCTTCGAAGGCTCCGCACCCGGTTTGCTGCCAATTAAACAAATCGAGTTTTTTGGTCCTTCCTCGTTATCCAAGTTCCACTTCCCAACTGCTCGCCTGAATGTTAGCTGCCGTTTCCGGCCTTCGGGTTATTTGACTAGTTTTCCGTTCTTAACTGCAGCTTGCTACTCCGTCGTTCCAGTTCATCGTACTTTCATGTAAGATGGTCTTTCCTCGAGTTTCTCCTTGTTCTGAAGCTTTCATTGGTTCTGGAAATTTTTTGAAATCTAACACCCTCTTTTCATGAATTTTGGAAATCGTTTGAGAATTTGAGAGGTTATTTTGTTAACCCGCAGTAATATTAAAAAACAAAGTTTGATTCCCTTTCTCTTCTGGGTGAAAATTTAAAATATATATTCGTAGATCCTAATGATGTTATATCTTTGATTTGATGTTTCCTTGGATATAATTTTCTCGTCATATTCATTGGAATAATGGTGTTGTGTTCATACATCAAGGACGATGAAAACCTATGTTTCGATTTTAAATGGAACAATAGCCTACATGATTACCCCATTTATAAAGTTATAATATAAACTTGATGCTTTTGAAGTCGAAATTCTCTCATCTAGTTCTTATGAAGTTGATATTTTGATATCTTTTCAAGTTCATGATGTTCTATCTTTTTCTGTTCTTCTGTCATGCTTATTATGGAATATCCTAAATAAAACTAAGTCAGATTTGGAGGGCTAAGCTAAGCCTAAACTCCTCGCCATTTTGAGCTAGCCTATGAGTTTTAAGGGGCTCAAAGTGTATTTTGACATAGCCTTCTCAAAAACTTCTAACCCAAGCACACGCAATGGAGCCGTAGACAGTCAAGTGAAATCCAATCAATTTGATCACGCGTCGTTGTGGTAAAGGTCGTAATGCCAGAGGGATAATTACTGCAGGGCATAGAATGGGAGGAAAGAGAAATAGGCAAGAAAAAACAGTTCGGCAAAATGGCATTCATGATCTATTTTCTTAGTAATGCTTTGCAGTTTCTTTTAGAATTTAGTTTGCCTAAAACTTCATTCAGAGCTCTTGAAAACTTTGCGTAATTCTTCCATTAGTCTTTGTGATATATGTATTTTTTTTATTTGTATTCTATTGCTAAATGAGGATAGGACTCTTAACCAAACACAATGGAGAAAAAGAATTCGTATAGCCAATCCCACGTGGTGGGATAAAGGCGTTGTTGTTGTATTGAAACAGGCATATCCCACTTGATGCTATATTTTGTATGTCTACGGAGCTGGTGTTTTGGTAGTTTCCAAAACAGTTATCTCTATCTTGTATTAATTTTTTGCTTCAATATCAAGTTGAGTATGTTGGCGAAATGATTCAAGTAATTTTTTGGTTTGCAGAAAACTTGATGCATAACACTTCCTTCTTGATGAAATGTGCTTCTCATCCATTGTTCATCTTTGCCTCCAATTATAAATGGCAAGCTTTCTGCAATTAACTAAATAAAAGTCCTCAAAAAAACTTTACTGTCTAAATTGTTAATTTGGCTCATATCTCACTTTATTTTATGAAGCATTAAATTGTTTTGGGTTTTGCCTTGTGAAGCTGAAAGGTGATCTAAATGTTCTTAATCGCACTCTCCCTCAAGCTGCTCTCTGTACCATGAATTTGCATCACTCGCTTTAGTTCACCGCAAACAGGATGCATGATACAACGTTTTGGTTCCAATATGCTCTCATCCATTGTGCTACTTTCGCCTCTGGTTTTAAACTTTTAGCTTTTTGTCAATTATCAGAATAAGAAGCCATGAAAATATTTAATGGCCTAAATTTTAATTCTCCCATATTTTCCTTATTGATATAAAGCTTTAAGATATTTAAGTTTTCCTTGCAAATTTGAAACGTGATCTAAATGCTCTCAATCACAATTCACAAATAGCAGCTTTCACAAACATGAATTTGCCTCGTTATCCATTTCAATTTAGAACGGGGCTTTAGAATGCTCATTACCTTTCAGGAAAAGAACAAAACTTTAGAGCAATTTTGATTCCATGAATAATTAATTATGGATTTTTTTAAGCATTAAACGCTTTCATGACACTAATGCTGTGTAGAATATTTTTTACCATTACAAGATGTAGATCTGAGAGGATAGTGAAGCGAAGGGATCAGATTGAGAATTGAATGTTATGACATCAAAAGTGTTCTTAATCCTTTCAGTGAGGGCAAGCCGGAAAAACCATGTCCTCAGAAACTCTTTTTTTTTGTTTTGTCAAAAGTAGAGGATTAGCCTTTGGCTTATTTCTGTAAAATTGATCTTCTTCTTTTTTTTGTTGTGATAGCTCACTGATTACTTTGTGCTTCACTTGCTTCTCCAGTTGAAGATATCTGTCAAAATGGAAGCATTAAAGGCTCTACCACCTGGGTTTGGCTTTCATCCAACAGATGTTGAGCTTATATCTCACTATCTTAGGAGGAAAAACCAAGGCCAGAAGGCCGACTTTGAAGTGATACCAGAGTTGGACATATATAAGCGTGAACCATGGGATTTACCCGGTAAATATGCTTCTTACTAGTCTTTTACTTTCAAAGTTTGATACAAATACCAGTGTCTTAATATATATGCCACGTTTTGACTATAATTGTATTAATCTCTTGACTTGGTACTTTATCCAGCTTGTTGTCCGATCCCCACAAGGGACAGCATGTGGCACTTTTTTGCCTCTCGTGATAGGAAGTATCCAAACGGTTCACGCACAAATAGAGCGACTGAAGCAGGCTATTGGAAGTCCACTGGTAAGGATCGAAACATCAGATTTCTCAACCAAGTCATTGGGACCAAGAAGACGCTAGTTTTTCATCAAGGTCGGCCACCCTCTGGAAAGCGCACAGATTGGATCATGCACGAATACTTTATGGATGAAAAAGAGAGCAAGACTAGCTCTGTAATTAAGGTACTCTACTTTGGTGGTTTTCACCTTTGCTTGCACTACCAACTATAGAAAGAAGACCTACTTGTCCCTAATTTTTTTTTTTAAAGGTAGATCTGCTGCTTGCTTCTTTTAAATCAGAATTATGAATGCCAAAAAATTACATTAGTAACCTTATGCGGATTAATAAGTTACAGATGGTACAAACAGTTGGATCTGATTTACAATTCAATCATTTGATTTGCTTTCCTTCTAGTTTTCTTTGCTGATCTTTTACTTATTCTTCTTTTATGTTTTGCAGAGTACTTATGTCCTTTGTCGTGTTACTAAAAGGAATGGCTTTGCAGTTGAAGGAAGTAATGTCTCAGCCCAGACTGAAGAAGCCAATGCTTACCAAAATACTGCAAAAGCTTTGTATCTATCTCTGCATGAGAGCATGGCACAGCAGAAGTCAAGCCAGTCCGAGAGTACTGAAAACCTGAATGCATGGTTTGAGGAGCTCTTATTTGATGGATCTATTCACTTCAACATTACTTCTTCCATAGAATCAAAAACAGCACCACAGGTATGCGCAGCTTCCTACTGCTAGAGGCAAACTTTGATATATATATATATATATATATATAATCATAATTTTACTGTTAAAATCATATGAGACTTGATGAAATTTAAAGGGCATAAAATAATGTAATTAAATATATTAAAATCTTCTTGTTGTCTTAGGTGATGTGGTTCGTTGTGTTGAGCTGGTTAAATCTTCTAATATACCATCTAGGTTGTTTTTTTTTTGCCATTTCAAGTACAACTTTAGGGAATTGCTATCTGTGAATAACTTGCGTGTGAAATATTAATACAGTTTTCAATTGACAAATGAATCAACATATTATTCTTTCTTACAGGTTTTCCCTGAAAAAATAATTGAATAATTCCTTTTGAGCATTGCATAAAGACGGTAATAGCTCAATAGAAAAGGAAAAACCAGATGGACGCACAGGCATTATAATATGGGATGCCTGAATAAAAAAAAGACAGTTCAAATCTTTTTCTGCAGATTCATAAATAGGCAATTTTATTCATGAAACTCATAATCCTTAAAAAAATGGTATTTGTTAGATCTTTCACAAGTTTTGCCTGGAAATCTGTTAATTTCCCTTACTTTCCATTCTTTTAGGTTTCACAGAACGTCCATCATGCTCTGATTCCAAAGGATGAGCCCTTGGACTTAGGCTTCTGGCCAGAAGAAATCATAGATGTCCTACATGATGACATTTCCGCCATGCCTGAGATCAATGAATTGCTTGCAGTTGATCACAAAGCCACATCATCACTAATCAATTCAAACAAATATGAAACTGATGGTTTCGAAAAGGCAATACCTGCTATTGGAACGTTCCAACACAATGTGAAGCTTCAAGTTCAGTCCAGGAAGATGGAATCATTGAACAGTGCATCTGTGTGCCAGACCATCAAACCTGCACAGGTTGATTGCGGCATCAAAAATAACAGGCCTCGTAAGCCAATAAACTTAAAGTTAGAGAATAAGCGAGAAGCAATACAGGATGCAATAAAGGGGCTCTTAGCTGTGGTTAGGAGTTTCTTTTCCTGTGTCTGAAAGAAGGGCAGGGACTTGCTGTTTCCTGGGTTCTTACGTAATTGGAACTGCAGCTTTGGTCATCTGATATCTGTCTCGTGATTGCCTAAAGTTCTAGAGTAGCTTCACTGCTATGGGGTTGCAAATTATAGCCTGTATTTTGGTAAATATCTATGGTACTAAGAAGTTTTTGATTTCCTGTTTAAATCGTTCCTCGCGGTAATTAGGTTTATTGTCTATTTTATATGATAGGTTTACTTGTTTTGTTTTTTGATAGTTGTTTTATAATGTAGGATTAGGATAGTCTCTACTTCCTCCCTGTTCATCAGTAGGTGAGGGAATTGTAATTTTTGCGTTGGGATCAAGAATAATGTCACAATGATTATGAGGAATAGAATAATATAGACATTTTGTATTTCGTGATCTTTTCAATTATTTGTCTTTTATCTTTTCAGTTCCTTCTTTCTGCTAAATATTTTTGAAATGATTTCCATAAAAAATTATCACAATTTTTTTTTAATGTTTAATTAGAGCTTCTAATATATTTTTAGGCCACTCGTGGAGGATACTTTTGTCAAGAATCTATCGTGTTTCTATTAAAACAAGTGTATATATTGACCCCTCGCACATGAAGTTATTTTTCATTACAGCAATCTTTAATTGAGATGAGATTATTGAATAGCTCATACATTGCCTCCTTTTTTTCATTCTTTACAGTTTTGATGCTGGCAATGACCACCTCAATTTCTTTTAATAACAAGGCCGAGTTTGACGAGTGTTGTGCTTCCAACAACGTTGTCAGGTTTAGGAGATCTCGATAAGTGCAAGATCGATGGTTCTAGTAAGTTTTGAAGTCTCAGATCACTTCTCTTGTTAATTCAGTGGTAGCGAAAGAGGGGTTTAAGATCTCCATTGCATTTTCATCTACTACATCGTTGACAACTCTGATGAAATCAGCCATATCTCTAGTTTGGTCATAATGCAATTCCCCCCTCAGTTCCCATCGACTATGCATCTTACCCAAGCACAATCATGAGAATCACCTCAAGTTTTCTTTACAGGCATTATATATGTTGATCTCATATGCATTCCACGCAATGTCATCTTGTAGGAAAGTAATGATTTATACATGAGAGACTTTGCAACAAAAAGTGGACTCCAAAATTTTGGTTTTTGGGGACCCAGTCTCTCCATTTATATTTAGGAAGAGTTTTAATAGATTAAGTTTCGGAGAATATCTTGTGCCAAACCATTGAGTCAAAGAGTCTCAATTATAATCGTTTATCATGTAGAGCCTTTTGGCTCGGCTGTTGACCTCTACTACCAGCCAAAATGAAATCATAAAAAAATAATAATATACAACATACCTCTACCGAAATGAAGCCAATCCCCTGCGCCGAATCCTGCCAAAAATCTTGTAAACGTTGTTGAACCGTCCTTTATCGCATCTCTTCTCACAGAGCACGCGGAGGGCCTTCAGCTCTTCTTAAATGAACGGAATCTCACACACGACTCCTTCCACATTCACTGCCTGCTCGCAAGAAGCTTCCGAAATCTTTTTTCTTCCTCCATCGGCCCCACTACCTCTCCAACCCGATGACTTGTTGACCTCATTTTTGTATGAGGTCACTAGGACTTTTCCCAAACTCCAGATCAATCATGGCCCTGGATCAATCTAGCCTCCAAACCAATCTAGACTCTAGGATCCTTCTAGACTTTAGACCCTAGGATTTATCTAGATTCTAGGATTCTTCCAAACCAATCCAGACCCTAGGATTTATCTAGGCCCTAGGACTCTTCCAAACCAATCCAGACTCTAGGATCTACCCTGGCCTTAGATCAATCCAGGCACTAGGATCTATCTAGACCCTAGATCAATCCAGACCATAGGATCTACCATGACCCTAGATCAAGCCAAATCCTAGGATTTACCTTGGCCCTAGATCTATCCATACTCTAGGATCAACTCAGATCTTAGATCAATCTATGTTCAAATCAAACCCAGACTTCAAGCCTATTTAGACTCTAGGCCTATACAGATATTAATCCTAGTCCAAACTTTGATCTATCCTTCAAATTAACTTCAACCCTATCCAATCACTTATGATCATCCAAATGATCATAAATGATTTGGGTAATTCAATTCCAAATATTCAAAACCAAAATCCAATTCAAATCCATACCAAATCCAGGGCTAAAAGGGATGTCCTGAAAGCATTTTCTAATGATTTTTCAAACACTTCAAACCTTAATCAAATACCCTTTGATTCAGAGTCTATCAATTGCATATTGATAGGAAATTTCTCTAGAGCCAACCCGTCAAATTTGATCTCGATCTGAGACTTCTAACCCTAGAAGCTAGATTGAAATCCAAATATTGCAAAACCTTCATATATTTACTTCCTATGCCATTAGACCTGCCACCTAATGGATCCTGTCCTTGAAGCCTTCTTCAAACCCTATTATCACATTCAGATCCTTGATCATGATATGTTAAGAATTAATCTGCATTCTTGTGGGCCCACTTTGACCTTCAGTTGACTAGGGATCAAAATGACCAAAATGCCCCTTAAGGGCAATTTTAGAATTTTATCTAAATTTCAACTTGGCCTTTTCAAATAAAACTCATAAACTTCTTACAATGCATCCTAATCATCATTAGGAGTGTAATGGATTCAACCTCCCATATCTCTCCACTACATTCTCCCCAAGCCCAAGTCCTTGTTCGTTTGAGCTCCCCAGCAACTCCCCCACATCTCCCCTCTCAAATCTAGCCGGTCAATCCTTGCTATCGATGGGATTCTGGCGACATCAACCTCAAATCCTTCCATGGCTCATTCTAGGCAATTCGTGGATTATCAAATTGTTGATTCAAGAGGGAAAATATACGAGGACAAACTACAAGTTCAAAGAGATCTTAAATGGTTTAATTTATCCTTAAACCGTGGTGAAATCTTAAACCCTAGATTAGAACATTTAGGAGAAATTAGCATTTCATTAAGCATATTTTAGACCGTGAAAATTGATCCCCATTAATGCTCTTCATGTATAGACTTCTTATTTAAAATTTCATTTGATTTGGTTAACCAGATTAAGAGAACAAGCTGAAAAACGCACGCTAGGGTTCGGTTGGGCTGTGCATGAACTGCACTTTTGAACCGTTAATCTTTATATCAACGGTTCTAATCGCACCATTCCACAGCTCTCATCACCGCAAATTTGATTCGACGGCTGATCTCCCTGTCCAGCACGATCCTGGCATTCATTTCAAACCGCAAAGATCCGACGGTTTGCGGCACTGTTGACGCAAATTAATAAAAATCACATGCCCCGCAGCCGCATTTGCATGATTGTAGTAGTAATAAACGTCGCGACCACGGCGGTTAGATCCAGCCAATTCGGTGATGCCACATGGCACATTGTAGCCACTGCTCTTTTTTTTATATTATAATTTAAATTTTAGTTTAAATTCACAAAATTAATATATATATATATATATATATAAAGAAAATTAATATTTTATATCTCTCATGAATTTAAAATACTATTAAATTAAATAATATATAAATATTTTTTTTGAATTATTTTCAAAATTAAAATATTTTGATATTTTTAATTATAATAATGAAAATAAACCATTTATTTTTCAAAAATACAAATATTATTTGAAAAATTCTATTAAATTATTAAACAGTTTTTTATATTTTAAAATTTAAACTTAAGTTAAATAACTTAATATGATTAATTAAATAATTTATATTAATATAAATATTTATAATAATTAAATATATTTATTAATTAAAATATAAATATTTTCAAAATTAAAGTTTCACATTAAAACTATTTTAAATAACTAAACAATTATTTTAAGAAATATATTAATTTGAACTTAAAATTATTTAAGATTTATTTTGTAATTTTAAATAATTTAATTTTCTAATTAATTAAATTTAATTTAATTTTGAAACCCTATAAAAAATATTTTAAAATATTTTAAATTATTGAAAACAGCTTAAGATTTAATTTTATTTAATTTAAGAATATTTTGATTATGTGTATTTAAAAAAACTAATTTTACAATGATTTTAATTAATTTAAACTTTAAAAAAAATCCAAATAATTTTAATTTAAATAAAAAAATCAAATTAATATATCAAAATTTTCATAATTTTATTTATTTTAATTTAAAATTATTCTAATTTAATTACTTATAGTAAATTAAAATTATTTCTAGAATTTTATATGTAATTGAATATTTAATTAAAATTAAGATGAAAATTTTTTTAATTTAATAAAATTAATTTTAAATCATTTTTCAAAATTCAGAAACATTTTGATATCAATTAAACTTAATTAAAAACTTATTTAAATTTTTTCAATTTTACAATTATTTTAAATGCTCTTTTAATTAACTTAATACTTTAAATCTTCAAAAGAAATTCAGTTTAAATAAAAAACTATTAATATTACCTCAACAATTTTTGCAGTATTACAAATATTTTAAATTTAAAATATTTTTTTAGAAAATTAAAAATTTATTATTTTAACACATTCTAATTTTTTTATTTTTTAAACAATTCATTAAATATAATTAAATATTATATTAATCTTTCCAGTAATTAAACAGGTGATATTCTCAGAGATTATTTTAAATTTTAACAGATCTCTCAAAAATAATTCTAATTTAATTTTAAGAAATTTTGTAATCTTTTATTTTGTAAGACATTAATTAATATATTGAGTTAGAATAAGATATATTTTTAAAACTTTATTTTTTAAAATGTCCACATATAATGATAGTCTATACTATATATAAAATATATCATATATATTATATATATATATATATATATATATATATATATATTATATAATATATATATATATAATATATATATAATATGAGAAGATCTCTTGAAACTTTAAATATGGATAAGCCTGTTAATAGAATTGATGAGGATGATTAGTGAACAATCATATTTTGAATTGTTCCTAAATCTAATCTTTTTATTATGTTCTTAATATTAATCTTTGCATGCTTAGGGCGCACACACTCGTATTTAGTTTTAGGGCTCTCATTGATCTAGGAATTGATTGTGATTGTGATTGCATCTTATTAATGTATGTCAAGGGTTAGAGACATTTATTTAAGCCCATAAAACTTAGTGACATCATTAAGGATAAAAAGTAAGGGACCATGTCTAAAAAACTTAGAATAATTCTAGAAATTATGATACACTTTCTATTGACATGAAAATTGAACTACTTAAACTTAATGGCACATACATCTCATAGAAATTTTTTTACTGATTTTAAAAAACCATTAAGATATTTAATTAATTAAACCTTCAATTAAAACTTAAAACAATCCAAAAATTTTGATAAATTCAAAAATGTAAATAATACTTCTAACTTACCAGAATTCAACTTCA